GACATGTCATGGGGTTGTTAACCATTGTCATAAAACAGTATGTGTACTGTTTAATGAGAAACTATTTGTTCTGTAAACCTTCATCTAAAGTACAATAAAAAAAAGAATGGGATGCTGCAAGTACATAATCCTAAAAGTGCTGTTCCATGCTACCACGTTGCTTTATTTAGAACTTCCCATTATTGCTGGAGACTGATAAATTTAAGGTTATAGTTTAGCTGTCTTCTGTGAAGCAGTTTAGAAAAAAAAGTGTTTAAATGACTTAACGCCTTTTGAAGTGCAACAGCATTTTGTATTTAAAATCAGTCCCCCAGAAGCACTCAACCCCTCCCGAGCCCTACACCATCGAGGTCGAGTAGGGCTCCCTTCAGGGCGCGTGCATTCAGACCCTGTTCATCTAAGCGCTGTGGTCACACTGCTTGTCTCCTGAACAGAATCTCATTTTCTCAATGGCTACCAACTTCCCAAGCAGCCTCTGTATTGGAAGGGAAAAATGAGACCAAGATTTGTGGATAGAGAAAGATGAGGAAAAAAATAGGCTGTCTCTTAAATTTTAACTTGCTTACTAGGGAACCCAGAATCTAATCCAAACATTTGAGTTAACGTGTGTATATTTTTGAGTTTTTAAGGCATCTTAAAGGAGCCCTGGCGGTGCAGTGGCTAAGCACTTAGCTGCCAACTGAAAGGTGGGCGGTTTAAACCCACCTGATGCTTGGCGGGAGAAAGATGTGGCAGTCTGCTTTCATAAACATTACATCGTAGGAAACCCTGTGGGGCATTTCTGCTCTGTCATATAGGGTTGCTGTGAGTTGGAATTGACTTGGCAGCACGCAACAACAACAGCAAAAAAGTATCTTAAATTGTTAGAAAACACCCATGTAAGTGGCTCTGATTCCTGACTTGGGTGTTTCTGTACTAAGGCTGGCCACACTGGTGGGGAGGCCTGTGGAGCAGCAGGTGTCAGGTGTGGGATTTCTCTTTGGGGAATCCGTAGGTATCCGTTTGACGTGTCCAGAAGGCAGCCTTATAAGGTGAAGAGAGGCACACCTTTGGAGTTAGACCCGAAGTCAGATTTGGTTTTGCCACATGCTTTCTGCGTCATCTTGGGAATTCTGCTTCATCTCTCTGAGCCTCCATTTCCTCACCTGTGTTTATTATATGCACAATAATAGTACTTCTTTAGAAGGTTATTAAAAAGTTAAACATAGGATGGCAAATAAGCCCTTGAAAAGATACTCAATGTCATTAACCCTTAGAGAAATGCAAATTAAATTCATAATGAAATGCTCCTCCAAATCTGTTAGAATGGCTTAACCAAACAGAAGGGACAGAAACCTGAGAACACCAACTGCTGACAAGTGTACGGAGCAGCTGGAACTCTCATACCTCACTGGTGGGAATGCAGAATGGCCTGGCCACTGTGCGTTTCTTATAAATTAAACATATAGTGCCCATACGATCAGCAACCACACTTTTTGGTATTTACCAAAAGAAAGGAAGATTTATGTCCATACAGAAATTTATACACAAATGTTCATAGTCACTTCATCCGTAATTGCCAAAAATTAGGACCAGCCTTGATGTCTGTCAACTTGTGAACGGATAGACAAATTGTGGTGCATCCATATAATGGAATACTACTCAGCAATGAAAAGAAACCATCTACTGATACCTCCTACAACATGAATGAATCTCAAACTCAGGCTGAGTGAGAAAAGCTGAGCTGGAAAGGCTGTGTACCATGATTGTACAGATGTGAAATTCTAGAAAAGGCAAAACCAGAGGGACAGGAAACAGATCAGTAGTTGCCAGGAGCTGATGGTGGGGACAAGCGATTGGCCCCAGAAGGTCATGAGAGAACTTTCTGGAATGTTGGAAATGTTCTCTCATCACCATGGTGGTGGCTCCATGATTCTGTTTGTCAGAGTTCATAGAACAGCGTACTTAAAAGGGTGAACGTCACTGTGTATAAATTATGCTTCATGAATCTGACTTTAAAAAAGAAGTTAAAAAATTTAAAACTAGCCCTTTTAAACTCAGATAATTCTGCTTGCTTAGGTAAGCAATGGGGAAGAGCTGTTAGTCTCTCCCTAACTTGGTTAGCATTAACACAGACCTTCAGCGGCTGTTGTTTCGTGTTCCTTATTGTTTCACTGCTCACTTACCCGTTTTAACTCCACTGTTAAAATTCACTCATTTGGAATAATTGGAGGTCAGTAAAGCTGATAACTCTAATGGGTTGAAAGATTTCAAATATGTTTAAATCCATGAATGAGTTCATAGTGATACTAAGCAAATAAATAAAAACGAAGAGCTCATTGGTCACTTTTAGAGGATACTAGGGAATCAACTTGTTATTTTGAAAACTGGTAAATAAACCAAAAAGAAAAAACAAGCATTTACCCTGCCTTTCTCATATGACCTGTATTTCAGGGTAACCAAAATGTTGTTGAAGGAAAATTTCTCTTTATAGAACAGATAATAAATTAGAATAACCAACTTAAAAGATTACAATTTCACAACTCTTTGTTAATGAATAAATCTAGCCAATGATTATCAGTTATTGCTCCATCACAAAAGGAGAGACAACCAGATATTATGTGCCTCCTGATGGAAGTACCCACCACCACCTGTGGAGTATTTTTGTCAAAAACTAAAAACTCTATCTGATACAGATTTTCCATTCTACATACAGATTGTCAAGAAATGCAGGAAATAGAGGCACAGACAACCCATTTCTTCAACAAGTAGGGAAAAGAAAAAGAGAGGGAATCTATAGATTCAAAGAGACTTAAGAGACGTATTATCCAGTCACAACATGTAGATCTTATTTGGATACTGATTTGAACAAAGAAACTAAAAGTATATATATATACGCAAGTTGATTGGGGGAGATTTTGAACATTGAATGTATGTTGATATAAAAAAAATTATTTGGATGTTTTATTTTATTTGAATGCTATTTTGTTTATGTTTTTAAAAATAAATGTCTTTTAGAGATACATACAGAAATATTTTTGGATGAAGCGTTAAGATATCTGGGATTTGCTTCATTTGACCCAGGGGAGGGGGAAGTGAGGGGAGGGTATAAAAGGAAACAAGACTGGCCATGAATTGAGAATTATTGAGGCTGCATGAGGAATATGCAGGAGTTCATGGTCCTATACTCTGCTTTTTTATAGGGTGGGAATTTTATGTTCTCAAAGCATTCATTCATTCATTCCACAAATACTGAATGCCTACAAAATGCCTCGTAGTGTGCTAGGTGCAGGCTTTATATTGGCTAATCGATGGGTGTGAACCATCACTAACCTGGAAGAGCTTTAGGTCTACAGAGGAGGCAGATGGTAGGAAGGAGATAAAGAAAATGTATATTATACACTGTGATCTAGTCTGAAGGAAAATGGACTCCGTTCAGTGATAGAGATTACAGGGAAGGCCCCACGCCTGGGCTGTTGAGAGTCGACCTCTCTGAGATGATGACATTTTAGCCACCATCTGAAGGATGGGAACTAGCCAGGAGCCCAGAGATCAGCACAGGGTGTCACAGGGGTGTGGGCAGGCTGAGTGAGGAAAATGCTTGATGTGTGTTTACTCATTCTCTCTGCTCCAACAAAATCTTATTGTCTAGCCACCTACTGACTTAATATTTCTTCTGCAAACTGTGTGTTGATATTTATGTGCATCTGACCTTGGATCTAATTATATTATGAACTCTAAAACTGCTTCTAAGCCTGGCAGAGTTTCACACACTCTGAATAGGTGTCGATAGTACATGCCCTTTGATGAATACTATTTTTAGACTTTTCAGATGATTATCAGAATGTACCTAAGATCAGTCTTGTGTCTTTGAACAAAGCAATCAGCAATTAAAATGAGTACGTCCTAATAATCCTGGAAAATAAGGGAACTATGTCTTGGGTTCTGGATTATATTTTGCTAAGGTAACACCAACAAATTCTGTTCTTTAGTTCTTCTTCTGATTGGAGTGCCTTGAATTTCTTATAATGAATGAAGGATATTGTTATATTATTACTTATTTAAGTCTCCTGTATTCCACTGATAACTATGCATCAGGCACAGTGTCTGTACTCAATAAAGGTTAAATAAATCAATGATGTGTGTCTGGTATGAACTTCTCCTTGCCAAAGCCTTCTCTTAGGGTCCCTGTCTGAGCCTGCCACTGTCTCTGTATCAGTAATTCTTCTACGCCCCTTTATTCTGCTTTCTTGGAGTATTTTGAGGGTCTATGCCTGTTTCTTGACCCAACTACTGATATCTGAGCAGAGGGGTGGTTGTGTGTGTATGTGCATGTGGGGTGGGGTGTTGCTTCTTATTTACATAATAATCTCCTTCTCATTATCTCTTAGACGTATCACAGATGCTACCCTCGCCATTGTGAAAGGAGAGACAGTTCCACTTGATGTCTTGCAGATTAAGGTACAGTCCTCTTCATATTTTTTAAAAATTTAAAAAAAAAATCAGTAATACACACACGTTAAAGAAAATAAAATATAGCAGCTCAAATGAGATTCTAATGAAAACAGCAGTCCCCCTTCTTACCCTAAGTCTTGTCCCTAGAGAAAAAGAACGTTCACTGTTCACTCATGCTGGTGCCACTGACTGATGGGCTTGTGCTGCTACATTTGTTGTATTGGTTTTAGACCTCATCTACTGACCTGTCTGTCATATATGAGAATTCCTCCATGGCTCCTCCCAGCATCGTTTTAATCTCTATCGTTAGTTCCTCTATTGGTTACCTTTGGGCCTCAGGTAATTCGTGTGTCTCACATGGTTGTGTTCAGTATTAAAGGAGTGAATGATAGAAAGCACTGAGGACATGATCAGGTGGCCTCACCTGCCTGGGTAGGTGCTTTACCCAAGGGGAGCCCTTTATGGGTCCTGTCTCTCCTGGGAGGGGCTCATCTTCTTGGAGTTCAGATTGCTTGGCTGCTTCAGTCTCAGCTCTCCTATGAGCTTAAGAAAAGTTAGGATTTTGCAGATTACCTGGCTTTTTCTCATTTGAGGGTGGGACAATGTTCTTTGCAGCTTTCTACATCCTAGCTGGGAGCAGAACTCTCCATTTTTCTATTGAGTTGGCTGACTTTTTCTTGCTGATTTATAGGTGAACTCATGAACTTTTGAGAAATACATTACCTAGCTGTGCCCACTGAAAGAGCCTAGAAGCAGTGACACTCAGTAGCAGTGAGCACACCCAGCACCCAGATCTTGGTTTCTACATACCATTCCCTAATAAAAGGGACCAGGACTCTGAAGGGATGGATTTCACAGGCAGGGTGAGAACCAGGCAAGGAAGTGCACAAAAAGAGATGGGGACCTCACAAAAAGGCGTAGGGGCCAGCTGGATGGTGTCCTCCTGGCCAACCTTGGAACCGTTTGAATATCAAAAAGAAAAATAATGCTAATAGATTATAACAGATTAGATAAAATGAATAATGAGCCCACAGTGATATTACAAAAGAATTACCAGCTTATAAATGTAGATTGAATGATCAAATTAGAAAATTACCATTTTGCAATCACCAGTGTAATAATTGATTCTGGAAAAGATTATCAATGGTTGCTAAAACGATTGAATAAAAGGCTGTTGGGAGACAGACCTTCACACAGTCTCAAAGTAGCACAGATTACTTAATAATTACAAAGGGGTATATACCTTTATAACGGGAAAATCTAGCAGATACCACCTCAACCAAGTGATCAAACTTGACGTGACCAAATGGGATAAACTGACATTAGTGCCTCGCGATGTGATGTACTGAGACGGTACAACATCACCTGTCAGCGTGCCTGCCAAAAATGTCAACTTGTGTCATGGATTGAATTATGTACCCCCAAAAATGTACGTGTCAGTTTGGCTGGGCCATGATTCCTGGTACTGTGTGATTTTCCTATATGTTGTAAATCCTGCCTCTATGATGTTAATGAGGGAGGATGGGTGGCAGTTGTGTTAGTAAGGCAGAACTCAGTTTACAAGACTGGATTGTGTCCTGTGGCAATCTTTTGAGATATAAAAGAGAGAAGTGAGCAGTGAGACAGGGGGACCTCATACCATCAAGAAGGCAGTGCCAGGAGCAGAGCGCGTCCTTTGGACCGGGGTCCCTGCGCCGAGAAGCTGCTAGTCCGAGGGAACACTGATGAGAAGGCCGACAGAGAGAGAAAGCCTTCCCCTGGAGCTGACACCCTGAATTTGGACTTTTAGCCTACTTTACTGTAAGGAAATAAACTTCTCTTTGTTAAAACCGTCCACTTGTGGTATTTCTGTTATAGCAGCACTAGATGACTAAGACAACTTGCTTCTGATCATGAGAGAGCAATCCAACAGATTCATATTGTGGGTCATTCTAAAAACAACGCTTGGCCAGGGCTCTTAAAAAATCCAATGTGGCGAAATCCAAAGGAAGGTAAGGAGTCTGGTCTAGAGTGAGGGAAACTAAAGAAATACCTACTGTTGTGACAGTGGCACAGGATCGGGCACCGTTTCGTTTTGTTATATGTGAGGTTGCTATGACTTGGAGCTGACACGATGGCACCTAACAACGACAAAGAAATATCACAAATAAACTCAGGTCAGGAGCTTGGATTGGAAAAATGAAAAACAACTAGTAAGAACCATAAAAATGTTATTGGGACAATTCCCAAACCAAAAAAAAAAACAAAAAACCTCTTGCCATTGGTTGGATCCTGACTCATAGTGACTCTATAGGACAGAGAAGAACTGCCCCATAGGGTTTCCAAGGCTGTAATCTTTATGGAAGCAGACTGCCACATCTTTCTCCCATGGAGTGGCTGGTGAGTTCAAACTGCTGACCTTTTTTTAGGTTAGCAGCCGAGCACTTAACTACTGCATACCCAGACTCATACATATACATGCACACAGAACTTATATACTCCCCATCATATGCATTTTGTTGTTGTTAGGTGCCGTCGAGTCGATCTGACTCATAGTGACCCTTTGTACAACAGAATGAAACACTGCCCGGTCTTGCGCCGTCCTCACAATCCTTGTTATGCTTGAGCCCATTGTTGCAGCCACGATATGAATCCATCTTGTTGAAGATCTTCCTCTTTTTTGCTGACCTTCTACCAAGCATGATGTCCTTCTCCAGGGACTGATCCCTCCTGATAACATGTCCAAAGTATATGAGATGTAGTCTTGCCATCCTTGCTTCTAAGGAGCATTCTGGCTGTACTTCTTCCAAGACAGATTTGTTCATTCTTTTGTCAGTCCGGGGTATATTAAATATTCTTCACCAACACCACAATTCAAAGGCGTCAGTTCTTCTTGCGTCTTCCTTATTCATCTTCCAACTTTTATATGCATATGAGGTGATTGAAAACAGGATGGTTTGGGTCAGGTGCACCTTAGTCTTCACGGTGACATCTTTGCTTTTCAACACTTTAAAAAGATCTTTTGCAGCAGATTTGCCCAACACAATGCATCATTTGATTTCTTGACTGCTGGTTCCATGGGTGTTGATTGTGGATCCAAGTAAAATTGAAACTCGAGGCTTGAATTTTATACTTTACTTTGTCTTCTTGAGCTGCCCTAAAGATTAATCTAAAGATTTACAGCCTTGGAAACCCTATGGGGCAGTTCTCCATCCTGTAGGGTCCCTATGAGTTGGAATTTACTCCACGGCAACGGAGTTTTTTATAACACTGAGTGTTTGACTTTGAAGTACTTCTGGGAACATTGATGGAATTTTTTTAGTTCTTTTTTTTGCTGTTTCAGTTGAGCCCTGCCAACCCAGAACCAACCACGCTAGTTGTGTGTGGAGTAAGAGGGACTTAGAATATCTCCCTTTCTTCTTACCATTCCTGGCAGATTATATGAACTCCTTTTAAAATCCTGGCTCTGATCCTTCTCTGATGCTTGGAGCTGCTTCAGAGCTCCGTCTACCTTCTTTCAAAGCAGTTGCCATCGAGTCCGTGACGATTCATGGAAACCGCATGTGTGTCAGAGTAGAACTGTGTTCCACAGGGTGTTCAATGGCTGTGACCTTTTGGTATAGGTCACCAGGCTTTTCTTCCAAGGCACCTCCGGGTGGACTCAAACAGCCCACCTTCAGTTAGCAGCCGAATGTGTTAACCGTTTTTAACCACTCTAAAATTCCTTGATTAGGCACCCATCTAGTTGTTATGGATTGAATTGTGTCCCCTAAAAATGTGTGTCAACTTGGCTAGGCCATGATTCCCAGTGTTGTGTGATTGTCCATTTTGTCATTTAATGGGATTTTCCTGTGTGTTGTAAATCCAGTCTCTGTGATGTTAATGAGGTGAGATCAGCGGCAGTTAGTGAGACAGGACTCAATCTACAAGATTAGGTTGTGTCTTAAATCAGTTTCTTTTGAGCTATAAAAGAAGTGAGCAGAGAGACAGGGGGACCTCATACCACCAAGAAACAAGAGCCAAGAGAATAGAGTGTCCTTTGTACCCGAGGTCCCTGTGCTGAGAAACTCGTAGGTTGGGAAGATTGATGACGCAGACTTTCTCCCAGAGCCGACAGAAAGAGAAAGCCTTCACCTGGAGCTGGTGCCCTGAATTTGGACTTCTAGGCTCCTAGACTGTGAGAGAATAAATTTCTGTTTGTTAAAGCCATCCATTTGCGGTATTTTCGTTATAGCAGCACTAGATGACTAAGACACTAGTCAACAGGAGTTCTTTTCATTGTTCCTTAAGTCTTTGTTCCAGCTAGCTCTCTCATTTATTTCTCTCAGCCAAGTACTGGGCCATTTTCTCCGGGATGTACTCTCCCCGGGGGCGCGTGTGAATTGGGGCAGCACATCTCCTCAGCACTGTGTGCCTGCCTTTCTATGTCTGCTGTTTCCTGACCACCCATCTCTTTCCCATCCTACTCCCCAGCCTGGGCCTGGACATGCCCTCCAGGTCATTCCTGTGTGATTGTGGCCTTCCTATGTTTGGTTTCCTCTCTGGGCGATCAGGGTCCTGTGTGGCCTGTTGTCCAGCGTCTGAAAACCGTGGTTTCATGTACTTTGCTGGTTTTCGGTTGTTCAGCGCAGAGGAGCAGTTCCAAGCCGTGTTATTCCATCGTACCGGGGAGTAGACGTCTCACTGCTAGCTTATTAACAACAGATTTTTGTTGAAACATTTGACGTCAATGTGTAATTGAGTTCAGCAAAGTCATTCTGCAGGTATCAGGAAGCTGGTCTTCTTCCAGATTCATTGTTCACTGGTCTTTCCTCTCCTACCTCATCCTCCGGGCAGGTCACCCCCGTAGGGAGTGAGCCTTTCTAAACGTCCCTCAGGGCAGGGCACACCTTGTTCAGAGCACTGTAGTGCAGAGGTGGCCAAGTCTTCTCATTCCACGGTGCCCGCAGTGTCTCAGCAACTTTTCATGGCATCCCTGGGCCACAAGAGGTACCTGCGAGTCTTGTTGATTAAATAATTAGGTCCAGGCAACCTGATACGTTCTTGCCGTGCCCGCCCGGGTGTCTGCCCTCACCCTAGTTCCCTCCGCCCTGGGTAACCAGGTGCAGGGAGCACAACAGCACAGCCCATCGGGTGTGCTTCCAGAAACCGCTCACTTGGGTGGAAATGGCTTTGGTGGGGGAGGCACCACCGCCCGTCTTCCCTCAGGGAAGGTAGAAGACTCAGCTGACCAGCTGTCCTCCAGTCCCTCATCCTCTGCCGTCCTGGGAGCAGCAGCTGCCGGCCCTGCCCTGTTCAGTGAGTCCTGTGCCTGGTGGCTGCTTGGAGCTATCCTTAGAGTGTGGGGTGCTCGGTGCCTGCCGGTCTTTGGCTCCTGTGGCTGCGAGTCTGAGCTGAAGGAAGGTCCCTGGTACTCTCAGCAAGGTCCGTCATGGGGTGTGTGCTTTCAGTATATTGCTTGACTCGCTGATCTGTTCCAAACTCACAATTATGATAAGCCAGATTCCGGCATAAAGCCATGGACTAAATCCTGATCACTTCCTACCCTGACCTGTTGTGACAGAAATGTGACTGTATGTGCAGACATTCAGGTGAGACTTCTGGAGTAGCGGCTTCTGGTCTGACTGGAGAGCTCTGGGTCCTTGGAGGAGGATGTAGGCTCCAGGCACCTTTGCCTGGAGCAGGTAGACAGGAGAAGACATTCTGGCTGACCCGCCACCAGCTGGTCCAACTCATGGTCTGGAGGGTGATCGAATGCCCCTGCCAGCAGGTTCATGAGGCCCAACATGCAAAACTCAGTTTCCTTTTGCAGCGTGGCTTCTGTTGAGCAGGCACGAGGTGAATGTCTTTGAAGTCTGCACATACTTTTTAGAACATTGGCTTGATGAAAAGTAGGCCAGGACGTCTGCCGGGTGCCTATACGCAGAGAGCCCCGGGTGGTTGTATCCATTCGTCTAAATGCAGTGTACTTACCTTCCAGGGTGAAAAGGAGCAGCCCGTGTTTGCAATGACCGGCCTTCGATGGGGTTCCTTCCGGGATGCCAGCGTCAAAGTCAGCAAGTAAATCCTCCTTCTTATTCTGTCCCTGTCTCTGAGGTTTTAAGGTGCAGTGATCTTGTGGGGATAAGTCTGGTGGGCCTGGGGACTGAATTGTGTGAATGATGGGGTCGGGGCCATCAGATAGAGGTTTGTCTTCTGCATACAGAAAAACTGGCTTGTTGGTAGCCAGAGAGGAGAGTATGTCTCTGTTTGTACACACAGTGTTGAGAGAGGTTAGGCTTGGGCCAGCCTAAAGGGAGAGCTGGTTGCTGTCACCCTGAGGGCTGTCTCAGTGGGCACCAAGGGAAGGCATGGCCGCCGCCGCCCAAAGCCTTTGCTGTCCTGTGAGACTTTCCCAGGGGTGTTTCCTGGAGGCCCAGCAGCTGGGACACAGGCTGTCCTTGTGGAGAAGGAAGGGAGGTGGTGCCTGGCTCTGTCGTGAGGAGAGACAGCCGTGGAGGAGGGCCTCCTCGTGGGAATGGGCTAATTTTTGGAGAAGTCATTGTGGGAGAGACAGACAGCCGTGGAGGAGGGCCTCCTCATGGGAATGGGCTAATTTTTAGAGAAGTCATTGTGGGAGAGACAAACAGCCATGGAGGAGGGCCTCCTCATGGGAATGGGCTAATTTTTAGAGAGGTCATTGTGTAAAGTGGAACTGTGGGCTTGGAGTGTGGTGTGTCCTATCCTGTTTGGTGGGCAGAGGCTTCTTCAGGGCTGGAGGAATGAATTATGACTGAGTTACACTTGATCTCATGCCTGACTGTTACCAGAAGGCCCTCTTCCCTCACAGGCAGCCCAGCCCACTCTTCACAGGGCCCCTCACACTTGTTCCCTTCATTGTTCCCACTGATGAAGCTTCTGGCAGCAGAATGTCAGGAGAGAGATCACTGTGTGCATCACACACAGCTTTCTTAAATACTTAACGATTTGCAAGTCTGCCGTGATTATCTGGATTCTAGAAATTACCTCGTGTATGATCAGTAATCTCAAATTCCAGCCACTCACCAAGAGGAATTGCTTAGCTTCCCCTGGAAAAGTCTGGTGAGAATAAATTGCATTCCAAAATGTGTTCATCAGCCATTAAGCCCCACCACAGGCCAGCCCTGCTGGAAACGTGTCATCTAATTTTCAGAATTTATGTTTTCAGTAGGCTTTATTTTTCAGAACAGTTTTAGGCTTACAGAAATAATGTGCAGAAAGCACAGAGTTACCATACATCCCCTCCCCTCTTACCTGATTTCCCCTTTTATTAGCATCTTGCCTTCCTGTGGGGCTTTTATTACAATGGGCAAACCAATATTGATACGTTATTATTAACCAAAGTCCATGGTTGACATTAGGGTTCACTCTCTGTTGTACAGCCGTGTGGGTTTTGACAAACTTCCCAGTATTTTGATTAATTTCTTAACAGTGAATTTTAAAATCCTGGTGGTGGTGATGTAGTACCACTGAGTAGCTCTGTGTATTATGGGAGAAACAGTGAGGGTGTGAGGCGTGCTCCTAGCTGGCCAGAGGACCACTATGGACATAGTGCCACACTTGTAGAGATGAAGGGGAACTGCTGACAATCTGGAAGTAAACTGTCTTGGTAGAGAGATGTTTTTCTAACTGGATAACCAGGAAAAGAAGTAAACTATAAAGTGAAGACCTTAGCTTAAAAACAAAACTTATCAGATGATATGCTGAAAGGAGTTCCTTTATATGGCCTTTTGCCTTGATTCTTTGAAAAAACAGCTTGAGAGCTTTTCCTCCTAAGCCCTGAGGAGTTACCTTTGCTCTAGTTTCCTGCCCCAGAGGGTTTGTTACTTTTGTCAAAGTTGATTGACATTTCCTGGGGATGCTGTAAACAACTTGATGGTTTGATACTTTTCATTGAGTCCTGAACTGCAGTCTGCCCAGTGATTGGTCTGTTTTATGCACCTTGCAGGGATTGGTTGGTTTACTATGTAAATTGAGTGATTTGTGGTCCACGAAGGGGATTGGTCAGTTTGTGGTCCTCCTGGGAGGGCCATGCCTTGAAATTGACAAGGAGATTGCTTATATAAGTAGCCAACCCACAAGAGTTTTTAGAGGCAAGAAGAAAGAAGCAGGAGTGAGGAGGCAAAGAACCTCCAAAAAGAGCTGTAACACAGGTTAAGGATTATGACATTGAAGATGGTGAGGAGCCCAGAAGGGGTCCAGCAGCACTATCGGTGGTGACGACAGTTTGCTGCTGCTAGAAAAGCAACTAAGAGAGCTGAGCAAGCTGCTACCCTGGTTGTGAGCCGGGCAAGTCAGCAGTTAGCAGTGGAGAGGTTGACGTCAGGGACGCCGAAGGCAAAGAGGCCTCCGTGGCTGAGAGGGGGCATGCACGGCCGAGAGAGTGGGTGTGCACAGCTGGGGGCGGGGTGTGTGTGTGTGCACAGCCGGGGGCGGGGGGCGTGCACAGCCGTGAGAAGGGCTGTCAGAGCTGTCCTGGTTGGAAGCTGTCCTGCCACAGTGGAATGGAGAGGCGTGCTCTCCATCACGGGCGAGCCTTCCAAGCCTTGCTTTCTGATCGTGATCTCCACGTTGTTTCTGTGACTTCCAAGTTGGTCCTGATCCTGAGTTGTATCCTATTACTTCCCTCATAAACCACTTAACTGTGAGTATGGTTCGTGGCTTCTGTGTGGCCATTGGAACCGATTACCAAACCCAGCAGAGAAGTAGAGAGTGCCATGGTGGGGGAAACGGCTGGTGTCAGAAACGGTGAAGAAGTCAGAGGGTGGACGTATGTCTGACCTCCTCCTCATAGGAATCGGCTTTGTGCTGATCCTGATTCTTACTGTCCGTCGGGGGTCGAGGTGCTTTCTGACACTCTGCTGCAACACAGATGACCAGGGCCCTCGTTAGCAGCATCACAGTTTTGACCTGAATAGAGATGTGGAAGGATTCCATCTTGCCCACTGGGTGATATCTGAACTCCTCCTCCTGACATTCGAGGCCCACCTCCCTGTCATCACCCCTAGTTAGGTGGTGACCTGGCTGGCTCTTGCACATCTCTTCCTTGCTAATGGTTCTTAACCTTGCCATATCCCGTGACCTTGCTGCTCCCCTGGCCTCGAACGACCTCCTTCCCCACTGCAGGTATCTAGATCCAACCCACGTTTCTAAGCCCCACACCTCCCCTTACTCTTGCGCCATTCATTGTACAAGCACAGCTGCTCCGGGACTAAGCCACCACGAGTCTTGTCTCTCCTTGTTGTTGTTTTTAGGTACCGTCGAGTCAGTTCCGACTCATAGCAACCTGTGGACAACAGAACAAAACACTGCCTGGTCCCGCACCATCCTCACAGTTGTTGTTATGCTTGAGGCCACTGTTGCAGCCACTGTGTCAATCCATCTTGTTGACGGTCTTCCTCTTTTTTGCTTACCCTCCACTTTACCAAGCATGATGTCCTTCTCCAGGGACTGATCCCTTCTGATAACGTGTCCAAAATATGTAAGACATAAGTCTCACCATCCTTGCTTCTAAGGAGCATTCTGGTTGTACTTTTTCCAAGACAGATTTGTTCATTCTTTTGGCAGTCCATGGTATACTCAGTGTTCTTTGGCAACACCACAATTCAAAGGTGTCAGTTCTTCTTCGGTCTTCCTTATTCATTGTCCAGCTTTCACATGCATATGACGCAATTGAAAACACCATGGCTTAAGTCAGGCGCAACTTAGTCTTTAAGGTGATATCTTTGCTTTTCAACACTTTAAAGAGGTCTTTTGCAGCAGATTTGCCCAGTGCAAGGTGTCCTTTGATTTCTTGACTGCTTCTTCCGTGGGTGTTGATTTTGGATCCAAGTAAAATGAAATCCTTGACAACTTCAGTCTTTTCTCCGTTTATCATGATGTTGCTCATTGGTCCAGTTGCGAGGATTTTTGTTTTCTTTATGTTGAGGTGTAATCCATACTGAAGGCTGTGGTCTTTGATCTTCATCAGTAAGTGCTTCAAGTCCTCTTCACTTTCAGCAAGCAAGGTTGTATCATCTGCATGTTGCAGGTTGTTAATGAGTCTTCCTCCAATCCCGATGCCCCGTTCTTCTTCATATAGTCCAGCTTCTCGGATTATTTGCTCAGCATACAGATTGAATAGGTATGGTGAAAGGACACCTTTCCTGATGTAGACCACGCGGTATCTCCTTGATTAACAGATAGTCACCAGTTCATTCCATGTCACATACACTCGTTTATTGTTTTCCAGTACTTTTTTGTGTCTTACTTTCTCAGTTCATAAGCCCCCAAAGGCAGGAGTTTTATGTACTGTATATTTCTTCTGCCGTCTCCACATCCACAGTGGGTGCTAAATAAATGCATGTTGATCAGAATCAAACGGAGCAGTTAAGGTGGCGCGGGAGGTGGCGTACAGAAGCTTTACGAGAGGAATCCACTTTATGCCTCTTTGCTAATCCTGACCTGTCGTCCCCGTCTCGTCAGTATCCTGTATGTGTTTGTTATGTGCCGTCGAGTTGGTTTTAGAAAAATGGGATAGACTGTTTTCATTCTCAGGTTTAACTTGTACCATTTTAAAACTGCATGCCATGAGTCATGAGGTTATAGTGTTTTATACATTTTAATTGTATCGGGTGTGTGTGTGTGTGTGTGTGTGTGTGTGTGTGTGTGTGAGAGAGAGAGAACCTGGTGTGCAGAACCAGGCATTTGGTGTGTAACCTGTCAGATCCCAGCGTCCGCATCTCTGTGCAGCTCTGTCCCGGTCCAGTCGTTGCTGTCTGGAATGGATACTAGCCACACTCCATGGTAGGAAGTACATGCTACCGTGATGTTTGTGGATTTAGAGATACGTGGAGTCCCTGATTATACAGGCCTTACAAATTGCAAGGATCTGCCTGCTGTAAAGCCAACTGTGTACTGTTTGACCTGCGTTGAAGGCAGATGAAACGTTTGCTGGGACTCCTTTTTATGCCAGGGTGCAGTCCCCAAGCCCCCCGAGGCAGCGCTGCCGTGGAGGTGCAGTGCTGTCTGTCTGTCATGAGCGGTGTCCACCACACAGACAGCTCTCTTAACATCCTAATCAGACTTTGCTTTTGGCCCCTCTCAGGTACTGGTATCTCGGGCCTCTGAAAACCAAAGCAGCCCACTTTTTCAGCACTCTTAAGGTAAGTGAAACTTGCAGTGTGGAAACACGCCCTGTTGTTTTGTGCAGTTGTCACTGTGGGATGTGTGTGTTTGGGATACGTTTACATTCCCTGCTGTGGATCTACATGACGCGCTCCACGGCCGAAATGGGGCAGATTTGCCTATATGCAAACGCAGAAAGCATTCCTGTTTCAATAAGTAACCGCCCCTTGTCTGCCAACTCATTCCCTCCACAACCAAACCTAGTTAATTTCTGACACCCTCTTCCCTGGGCCTGTTCATTCCCTCATGCTCAGCAGGCAGACCTGGAACAACATGATCTGCACCTCATCGATGATCTGTGTGTCTGTGGTCATGCCTGGGAGTGAATCACAGATTACCATATCTAACTGTGTATACAGTGTGTATAATGTCAGGAGGTTTCGAGTGGTAGGAGCCCAGTGTGGCCAGTGGCTGCTGCGTTGGACGGCACAGGTACAGAGCATCCCTGTCATCAGAGAAAGGGCTGCTGTAGACTAGACATTAAACATGCCGGCGTCGAGAAAAGCTTAATTTATAGTAACAAAAATGCTAATAGAGAAGTCCTCCTTAACTGTTGACTAAACACTGTGTTCAGCTTTGATGCAGATCAAAGTAGTCTGTTCACAGTTTGGATGGCCGATGTGAAAAGTGGCAGATGGAATTTGAATGGAGTGAGAAGTTTGTTTCCAATATTAGTATTCAGAGTATTGGTGGTTTTCTAACTATAAAAGTAATACATGTTCATTGCAGAACGTTGCCAAATGTAGCTCCCTTCACCTTCTGAAATAAACTCCAATTGGATTAAAGAATTAGATTAAAAAAAAAAAAGAGTAAACCCACTGAAGTGCTGGAGGTGAATCGGTATGATTGTTAAAATAAACTCGAGGACAAGACCTTTGTAAGCATGGCGCCCACGGCAGACTGTAGGAGGGAACGGCATTGTCAGCACTGCTCAGGGAAGCCGTGGCGTTGGTGGTGTAGTTGGGGCATCGGGGAAGCAGCAGAGTAACTACATACGTAAATTGTGGAGCCTGGGAGAACATGAATCTTTCCACCATTCATGCAGCAAACAAGCCCTGCTCTGTGCTCAGGATACAAAGTCACACAAGATGGGCTTCCTGCCTCCAGGAGTTTTCACGTGCTGGCAGGAAAGGCGTGTGCCAGTCTGCAGTTTGGAAGTGCCCTAAGAGACACGTGGGCAGACTGAGATCGGGCAGAGAGGGGCATTGTCTGCCTGACCTTGGTCGGCAGACTCCCTAGGGAAAGTGGCACTCCTGTGAGGTCTGGGGTACGTAGAAACCAAAGCTGTTGCTGTTGAATCAGTTCTGACTCATAGCGACACCATAGGACAGAGTAGAACTGCCCCATAGAGTCTTCTGGCCGTAATCTTTATGGGAGCAGATACCAGGTCTTTCTCCTGCAGAGCAGCTGGTGGGTTCAAACCACTGACCTTTCAGTTAGGAGTTGAGCACTTAACCACTGTGCCACCAGGGCTCCTCAGGGTACATACAGGGCTTAGGTAAAGGAGACTCTGGGTGGAGGGGCAGGATGTGTGCAGGCCCTGTTTAGTCACTTGGCCATTAACTGTGGGGATGCAGTGGGGTGGCAGGAAAGGAAGCTAGTGCTAGGTTGGGCAGATGGTGGGGTTTGGAGGTGGGCTCTTTTAGCTTTAAAGCACTGGGGGTCTTAAGCAGGGAAGGACACAGTCTGATCTGATTTGAGAGAAGTTGTTTGGCCTCAGTGTGGACAAGGGATTGGACATGGGTAGGCCAGAGGCAAAGGAGCCCTGGGTAAGCACTTGGCTGCTCACCAAAAGGTTGGCGGTTAGAACCTACCAGCTGCTCCACGGGAGAAAGATGTGGCAGTCTGCTTCCGTAAATATCTCAGCCTTGGAAACCCTATGGGGCAGTCCTACTCTGTCCTGTAGGGTCTGTGAGTTGGAGTCGACTCCATGGCACCAATGACAAGAAGCCAGAAGCAAGGACAGCAGGTAGAAGGCTGTCGAGGCAACCCGGGCGTGAAGTGATGAGGTCTGACCAAGGTGGCAGCAGTGAGTGTCGACAGGGAGGGTGGGTTCAGGTGGAAGCCTCTAACGTGGGGGGGAGAGTATGGGCTCCCAGGTTTCTGGTTTGACGGACTAGAGTGTGGTAACTAGAGTTTTCATTAGCATTGCTAGTATTAGACTAAGGCCAAGTTTGTGAAGAGAGGTGCAGTGTTCAGTTCAGCGTGTGCTGAGTCTGAATTACCTGTGGTACAGACACATGGAGACAGTTTTGATTTAGGTCTGGAGGTGAGGCTGCAGAGAGGTCTGGGCCAAGGAACAGCTTCAGGTGTCCTAGTGTGTGCATGGCCCTGAAACGTGAGTTAGATGGAGTGCTTGTGAGAACGGGGCAGGAGTCGCCCTGAGGAATGCGGACATGGAAAGAACTGGAAATGACTATGGCTGAGAAGCACTGAGAGAATCCAGGAGTTCTGGCACAGAAGCCAGCAGAGAAGGGGATGTCAGGAGCACAAAGGCCAAACGGAGACGGGAGAGCTGTCGGGTTCGGCAGCTGAGCTCTCTGGTGACCTGCAAGCGGAGGGTCAGGAGCCACATTGAAGAAAGTTCGGGAATAAGTGGATGGTCAGGACGTGGAGACAGCAAGCTAGCGCCTCCTTCAAGATGCTCGCCTCTGAGGGGAAGAGAGAGAGGAACAAAGGCTAGAGAGAACCATGGGGTCAGGAGAGTGCTGTTCTCTTAGTCGGAGAGAGCTCCTGAAGCAAAGGAAGCGGAGTGAAGATGCAGGAGACGGGAAGAATGAATGAGTGGCCAACCCCACGGCGGGTAGGAGGGTCTGCGATCCTGCCCTGGAGGGGGAAGGGCACCTTTCTCATTGAGACAGGAGGAAAGGAAGGGAAGGTCCAGATGCAAAGTGTGTGGAACCTGAAGGGCGTTCTCACTGGTATGTCTGACCCGCCTTTGAAGTGTGGGAGGCAGAGCTGTCTGCAGAGAATTGGGGTGGGGGGGTATGGTGGGTAAAGAACGGTGAAGGCAGGGGTGAGCAGCACTGTCGGGCAGCAGTGAGGAGCTGAGACAACGCAGGTGGCACGACTGCTCCCTGGGTGAGTCTGGTTTTCCCCTCGCAGCACTCAGCAGGGATGCCCCTCCTCTGGTGACGTAGGAGTACAGAAGCCCGCCGGCAGGGGCTCTTCAGGGCAAGCGTGATGGAAGAGGGGCCCTGGTGGCGCAGTGGTTGAGAGCTCAGCTGCTAGCCAAAAGGTCAGCAGTTCAAATCCACCAGCCGCTCCTTGGAAACTCTATGGGGCAGTTCTACTCTGCCCTATAGGGACACTATGAGTCGGAAGTGACTCAACGGCAACCGGCTTGGTTTTTTTTTTTTTGGTTGTGGAAGGATAAGGACCCCTGAGGGCTCTGAGCGGCGGCAGTGATTTACCGTAAGGGCCATTAGTGAGGCAGGTGAGGTGAGATGTGAAATCCGACAGGCTGACGGAGGGAACGTGGAGGGGCCAGGACCTGGCGTTCTCCATGTAATAGAACTCAGTGGCTGGAGGCCCCAGCAGCCAGTTAATGACTCCCCTCTCCTCCTCTTCCGAGTTTGGGCAGAGCTGTGAACACGGGCGGGAACCAGCAGGTAGAGGTGAGAATGCCTGCTTTACTGTGTCAGCTGGAGCGGGGACGCAGCTTCGATAGGTGCTTGTGGTCAGATGGCCTCATATCCTGGACTTAACTTACCTACCAAGACTGCTTCTGCCGGGCAGAGGCCGCCAGAGTAGGCTTTCTGCCCCAGGGAGGCCTTGGGGTGTGAGTCCTGAGGATGGCGGATTTCAGAGAGAGGGTGGGCCAAGTCCACGCCTTGGTCCTTCTGGATGTGGGGGCACTGAGTACCGGGTGGGGTGAGAGAGGCCAGAACCATCCCTCTTTGTAACGCACCCACAGAGGCCTGAGAGCCTGCCTTCTTGCGTGCGTGTGTGCCTGCGGCAGGAGGAGAGGCAGGTGGGCTCCGCCCGAGGTGGGAGCGGTCTGTCCCTCACCACCTTCTTTCTCTCCTTCAATAAGGAGTGGCCGCAGACTCACCAGGCCGCCATCTCATACACGGGACCCACAGAGAGACCGTCCAGTGAGCCAAGAGAGTCCCCCCCACGGCCCTCTCTGTACCGGAGGATTCTGCGGAGGCTGGCGGCCTACTGGGCACAGCCGCAGGACGGTGAGCAGTGTGGCGCTGCCGCGGGGAGCCCTGGCCCCTTGGGAACGCCCAGGGACCCGTCAGCCTCGGACTGAGCTGGGGCCCACGCAGCAGCCTCCTGTAACACCCTCACTGAGACAGAAGGAACAGCGGAAGGTTCGCAGGCCCAGCCCACCTGGCAGTGTCACACCGACAGTGTCACATGGGCGGGACAGCAGCCTCGGGCCGTTATTTTTCCCGGTAGGCTTTATTTTTCAGAGCAGTTTTAGGTTTACAGAGAATTGAGCAGGAAGATGAGAGGGTTCCCACGAGCCCCCTGCGTACGTTCCTGCTGTTATTAACATGGTGCATTCCTGTGTACATTTGTTACACTGGATGGACCAACATTGATACATGGTGGTTAACTAAAGCCCGTCATTCACATTAGGGCTTACTGTCCCGTGTCCTGTGTGACACAGTGCCCCCTTCCCTGTCCCGCCTGTTGAGTCATTTGGTGAGGATGTTTTGGGCATAGAGATTGCACAGTGGGCCTGACATTTCAGCCCTGGGTATAAGCAGTGTGGAATAAGTAAGACCAAGGGGAGTCCACAGAGAGCTGGGGCAGCAGAGCCTAGTGGTGCTGGGCAGGGGGTGGGAGTGTTCCGGTGGGTGAGGGGGCACTCTGGGGGGTAGGGGGTGCTCTGGGGGGATGGGGAGCGCTCTGGTGGGTGGGGAGGTGGTGCACTGACCTGTCTCGTGGCCTCATGCAGCCTCCCCCCAAGAGGTGCACCCCGAGGTCTGGAAGGAGGTGCAGCGGTCCACCATCGAGCTGTCCATCACGACACGGAACCGGCAACTCGACCCCGTGGTGAGTGAGCTGGCTGGTTGTACCGGAAAGGCCCTGGGGACCTGGGATGGTGACAGGGGCTGTGGGCTCCTCACTGACTGGAAGGGTGAGGACAAAGAGGATGGCGTGCGGCTTCAAGGAGTAATAGCCATGGGGAGTGGGGGAGCGCGGGCTTGGGGGCGGTGAGCAGCTGAGTGAGCAGGGCCTCGACCACCTGCAGGCTCTGGGCCAGCGTTCTGGATGCTCCAAGGAGCTTCGCAGCCTTCTTGCCTTCAGAGAACTGAGGGCAAAGTCCCCCCAGAACCCAAAGTCAGCTACTCGCATTTGTACTGGGATAAAAACGTGTGGAACTTCTGTTAGAGTAAACACCCGTTATTTTTGTGACTGTGCTCAGAGTGTAGATCCCCAGGAGGAGAGTTTGTTCAGGTCTGGTCTGTGGGCCCGCACTCTTCAATATGGTAGCCACTAGCCACACGTGGCTCTTTAAGTCTAAATTCATTAGCATTAAGTAAAATGAAAAGCAGTTCGTCAGTCACACTAGCCCCATTTCAGGTGCCCGACAGGCAGTCAGACGTGGCTCATAGCCGCCATAGCGGAAAGCACAGATAGAAAACTCCCTATCATTGCGGAAGTCCAGAAGACTAGCCTTTTTTTGTATAGCTCACGAGCTGTGAATTGTTTTTACATTCTTAAATGATTGGGGGAAAAAAAAGGATAATATTTTGTGACATATGAAAAGTATATGAATTTCAGATTTCAATATCTGTAAATAAAACTTTATTTAAGGATAAGTAATCATTTCATATTATCTATGGCTTTGTTAACATATTATCTGGCTCCTTCCCCACTTCAGCAGCAGAGCTGAGTAGCAACATACTGTCTGTCTGGCCCACAGTGCCCTAAAACATTTACTATTTGGCCCTTTACAGAACGCATTTGCTGACCTCTGGGACAGAGAACACCTTAGTAATTTATATTAATGAGGATGTTAATAGAAAAGTCATCCTCAACTGTGGACTAAATACTCATTTTGGTTTTTATATAAATTAGAATAGTACAGTCACAGAGTGGGTGGCCAATCTGAAAATGAACAGATGGATTGAATGTAGTGAGAAGTTTCATTCCTATGTTTATATTCAGAGCATTGAGTGTTTTTCTCATTATAAAAATAATACATGTTCATTGCAGGACATTTGGAAAACATCGCTCCCTTCACCTTGAAAGTAAAGTCCAGTGTGATTAAAGAATTAAATGTAAAAAAATAAAACCACTAAAGTACTAGAGGGAAATCTTAAGTGATCATCAGTATAAAGTTGGGGAGGACAAGGCCTTCCTTAGCATGACTCCTAAGGCAGAAATCATATTGATGCATTTGTCTACTTATTTAAAAAGTCACTGTAGACAGATTTTTAAGTGACATATTGAGAAATATGTCCTTTCGCAATGTGATGGACTAGGGTGTGGTAGGCCAGGTTGTTCATACGAAACAAAAGCCAAACCCATTGCCACTGAGTAGATTCCGACCCATGACGACCCCATGTGTCACTGGGTAGAACTGCTTCGGAGGGTTTTCTTGGCTGTAATGTTTACGGAAGCAGGTCACCAGGCCTTTCTTCCATGGTACCTCTGAGCGGGCTCACACTGCCAATCTTTAGGCTGCTAGCTGAGCGCAAACTGCTCGCACCAGCCAGGGAAGTCTTAGGAATCAGTGAGAAATGGGTAGAGGAATAGTATAAAAACCGGGCAAAGGACAGGCATAGAAAAGGCACAAAAGAAATAAGCATATAAAAATGGCTTATATTTACTGAGTGTTTACTACATGCACTGTTAAGAAGTTTACATAGTGTTAAATCACGTGGCCCTCGTAACTACTTTGTCAGGCAGATAAAATTTTCTATGCATTTTATAGGTAGAGAAACAGAAAAAGTCCACCGTGTCACTTTAAAATGGTAACTGTTGAATTGGCATAGACTGAAAAGCACCACAGGGCTCAGCGTTGCAGCGGGTGGGGAAACGGGCCACCTCGCTGGGCTGTAACACCCTCATGTAGATGGAACACTCTTTCCGATGCCAGCCGGGTGGTATACTTGAAATACCTGAAACGTACGCTTACCTTTTGACCTGCTAAGTGTATTTCTAGGAGTTTATCCTGCGGGAAAGATCAGATGAGTACATAATGTAGGCAGTCCCCTCCTTTCTTAAAAAATGGAATTCTGAAAACATTGTTGAAGGGAATGTATTAAGGCTGAAAAACAGATTCTGTTCCAGCAGACTGTTAAAAAGAACAATAAGATTTCTAATTATACATTTCCTTTGTACCCAGTCTGTGATAATATACATTCCCAGTGTTTTGTTCATGTTCTTTAATACTGTTCTCTTCTCTGATGGTTGAATGCGGATGAATGGGTGGGTTCAGCAAACGTGTGATCACAGCGCAAGATGAGCTATGTTCAGGGTGCCGAGCGGGTTTTATCTTTGTGCCAATTATGAAAGTATATGATACTGTGCTTCTTATCACTGGGAGCAGCACATTCATTTTCATCCCCCTCTTCTCCGCATGTCTCTGTAAAAACAAAAGATGCAGTGAAATATTCAGAGCATGGGGCTTCCATGGTATGGCTTGGAGTGTTGGTTTATCATTAACAGAAAGTGCATTCGGAGTGTGAACGAGGCTTGGGAGTGTGCAGCTTGGGAAAATTAGAGTCTCTCGTACACCTCTGTTCCTTGTGTTTATGGTGGCAAAGTATGTGAAACAAACCAGCCAGGGGACTGGTGATATACCTGTTGGTACGTTTATTTCACATGCTCCCCATGTATTTATTAATAGGGAAGGATGTTCATCGTACGTCATTAAATGAAAAACCAGGTGGAAAATAGTGTGCATCAAATGATTTCATTTCTTTTTAAAAAGAAGTACTCCCACTTATAATTGAGTCTGCTGCAAAGGACCTCTTTAAAGTGTTAAAAAGCAAAGATGTCACTTTGAGGACGAAGGTGTACCTGACTCAAGCTGTGATATTTTCAGTCACCTTATATGCATGTGAAAGCTGGACAATGAATAAGGAAGACCAAAGAAGAATTGATGCCTTTGAATTATGGTGCTGGCGAAGAATATTGAATATATCATGGACTGCCAGAAGAACCCACAAATCTATCCTGGAAGAAATACAGCCAGAGTGCTCCTTGGAAGTGAGGGTGGTGAGACTTTGTCTCACGTACTTTGGACATGCTATCTGGAGAGACCAGTTCCTGGAAAAGGACATCATGCTTAGTAAGGTAGAGGGTCAGCAGAAGAGAAGGCCCTCAACGAGATGGACTGACACAGGTGCAAGACCAGGCAGTGTTTTGTTCTATTGTACAGAGGGTCGCTAGGAGTCAGAACCGACTCGATGGCACCTAAAACAACATAAATTGAGTCTTGTGGATGACAGAGGTGAGGCTCCAATTGTCCGTTCTTTGCACATGGAAGGCCAGTTGTACAAGCACCAATATTTTGCGAAGTCCATTTTACCCCGTTGATTTGCAGTAACCTGTCATACACCAAGTGTCTGTACACATGGAAATGTTTCTAGGCTCTCTGTTGTCTTCTGTTGTTCTATTTATCTATATTTGTACTAAACAACGAAAAACCAAACCAGTTGCCATCAAGTCGATTCCAACTTAGGGTGACCCTATGTGTTCCAGAGTAGAACTGCACTCCATAGTGTTTTCAGTGGCTGATCTTTTGGAAGTAAATGGCCAGACCTTTTTTTCCGAGGCACCTCTGGGTGGATTCGAATCACTCATTTAGTAGCCAGTCACTTAACCATTGGCACCGCCCTGGAACTCTCTACTTGTATTAGTACTCTGATCCTGAGCCATCCTCACAATCCTTGTTAGGCTTGAGCGCCTTGTTGCAGCCACTGTGTCAGTCCGTCTCATTGAAGGTCTTCTTTTTGTTCGCTGACCTCTACTTTACCAAGCATGATGTCCTTCTCCAGGGATGATCCCTCCTGATAACATGTCCAAAGTATGTGAAACAAAGTATCACCATCCTCGCTTCTAAGGAGCATTCTGGTTGTACTTCTTCCTAACAGATTTTTTTGTTCTTCTGGTGGTCTACGGTATATTCAATATTCTTCACCAGCACCACAATTCAAAGGCGTCAATCCCGTCTTTGTTATTCATTGTCCAGCTTTCACATGCATATGAGGCGATTGAAAACACAATGACTTAGATCAGGTGCACCTTAGTCTTCAGAGTGACATCTTTACTTTTCAACACTGTAAAGGAGTCTTTTGCAGCAGATTTGCGTAAGGCAATACGTCATCTGATTTCCTGACTGCTGCTCCCTTGGGCATTGATTGTGGATCCAAGTAAAATGAAATCCTTGACAACTTCAGTCATTTTGCATTTATTATAATGTTGCTTATTGGTCCAGTTGTGAGGATGTTTGTTTTATGTTGAGGTGCAATCCCTACTGAAGGCTGCAGTCTTCAGTAAAAGAGCTGAACAGGAGATTAAAAAAGGTGACTCGAGAAGACAAAAAGTAAAGTATTATAATGACATGTGCAAAGACCTGGAGTTAGAAAACCAAAAGGGAAGAACATGCTCAGTATTTCTCAAGTGGAAAGAACTGAAGAGAAAATTCAAGCCTCGAGTTGCAAAACTGAAGGATTCTATGGGGAAAATATTGAACGACGCACGAAGCATCAAAAGAAGATGGAAGGAATACACTGAGTCACTCTACCAAAAAGGATTGGTTGACCTTCCACCATTTCAGGAGGTAGCATATTGTCTTAGGCTGGGTTCTCTAGAGAAGCAAAACCAGTAAAGCATATAAATATATATAGAGAGAGATTTATATCAAGGAAAGAGCTCACGCAATTGTAGAGGCTAAAACGTTCCAAGTCCACAGATCAGGGTAGAGGCCTCTCCCAGTTCTCACGTAGCCGCAGAAGCTGGTGAACCCAAGGTCGGCAGGTCAGGGAACTGGACTCTTGCTTGTAGGCTGAGAAGTTCGACGAATTCCAAGATCAACAGGTAAGCTGCTAGCTCAAGTCCCATGAACCGGAGGTGAGACAACAAGAGACAGCTGCTGACTCTGGAACAAGCCAAAAACCTTAGCAAGGGGAGCAGGCAGAAGGTAACCGGCAGAAGGCAGAGAGAGGAAACAGAGGGCGTTGAGCTGCCACAGGCCCCGCCTCCGCCAGTACCACTCAACAGATTTCATCACGAGGGTGCTCACAACATTATACAACTACTAAAACATGGAGAGTAATGGTCTAGCCAAGTTGACATACAATCTTAACCATCACACATACGGTCAAGAAATGATGGTACTGAAGGATGGTACTGAAGGAAGACGTTTAAGCTGCCCTGAAGGCATTAGCGTAAAACAGGCCTCCAGGAATTGATGGAATACCAATTGAGATGTTTCAACAAACATATGCAATGCAGGAAGCGCTTACTCATCTATGCCGAGAAATTTGGAAGACAGCTACCTGGCCAACCGACTGGAAGAAATCCATATTTATGCCCATTGCAAAGAAAGGTGATCCAACAGAATGTGGAAATTATCTAACAATATCATTAACATCACACACAAGTGAAATTTTGCCGAAGATCATTCAAAAGCGGTTGCAGCAGTACATGGACAGGAACTGCCAGAAATTCAAGCTGGATTCAGAAGAGGACGTGGAAGGAGGGATATCATTGCTGATGTCAGATGGATCTTGGCTGAAAACAGAGAATACCAGAAAGATGTTTACCAGTATTTTATTGACTATGCAAAGGCATTTGATTGTGTGGATCATGACAAATTATGGATAACCTTGGGAAGAATGGAAATTCCAGAGCACTTCATTGTGCCCATGAGGAACCTGTACATAGACCAAGAGGCAGTCATTTGAACACAACGAGGGGATACTGTGTGGTTTAAAGTCAGGAAAGGTGTGCGTCAGGGTTGTATCCTTCCATCATTCTTCTTCAGTCTGTATGCTGAGCAAATAATCCGAGAAGCTGGACACTATGAAGAAGAACGTGGCACCAGGATTCGTGGAAGACTCATTAGCAACCTGCGATATGCAGATGACACAGCTTGTATTAGTACTGTGCTTATCTTACTTATTATAACTTTATAAGTCCCTCTACCTTTTTCTTCTCCTTCAATAGGCTTCTGGTTATTCTTGACTGTTTGGATGTCTATAAATCTTTTAGAATGTTTATTTCATTAAGTTCTACACAAAAATTTACTATATTAATCAGGATTACATTGAACCTATAAATCAGTTTGAGGAGAAGTGGCATTTGTACAATATTGACTCTTCTATAATATGAACATGTTGTATCTCTTCATTTATTTAGGTCTTTAATGTTTTTCAATTATTATAGTTATTTCTCTGTAACATTCCATGCCTTTTGCTGGATATATTCCTGGTTATCTTAATATTTGATGCTGTTGTAAATAATAGTTCTTAAAATTTCATTTTCTGACTATCTGATGTTGGCATATGGACGTGTAATTGATTTTTTATATTGATTCTGAATCAGCAACTTAACTAAATTCTTATTATCTGTGGATTCTTTTGGATTTTCTACAGAATCCATCATATAAGCTGCAAATAATGCAAGTTTTGTTTTTTCTTTCCAATCGTTTATTTCCCCCCTGCATGGCTGGGACTTCAGTACAGTGTTGAGTAGAAGAGTGTGACGGGATCTTGGAGAGAAAGGGCTCATTTCTTCCTTCTAGAGCTTGCTCTTTTTTCGGTAGATCCCCTTGATCAGTTAAGGAAGTTCTTTTCATTCCCCATTTGCTAAGAGCGTATAGTGAGTGGTTATTTAATATCACTGAGTGCCTTTCCTGAGGTGTTGAGATGATAAGATTTCCTCATTTCACCTCTTAGTGTGGTGAAGTACATTGATGGCTGAATGTTGATTTGGGACTTCTACTTTTCACCAAGATAGAGCCACAAGCCCCAGCTTTACTCTCGCGCTTTGAGCAAGTAAAAAGCTGGGTGAGACCCATGAGGAAGTCTTGCGGGGCGCTGGACAAGCAGCAGCAGCACAGCGGGGTGACCGAGGGGAGGGAAACAAGCAAGGCCAGCCCACGGCTGCCCAGCCGAGGAGGTCTCGGGCACAGCACTGGCAGGGAGCCCTTGACGTCTCCCTCAGGCCAGGGGACCGGCAAGACGAGGCAGCTAGAATAGCAGGCAGATCCCCTTTCTGTCTACTCTAAATATGACTGCCAGAGTGCTGCCATTAGAACAAAGCCAGGTCCCATTTCTCTGCTTCGAGCCCTCCAGAGGCTCCGCGTTTCACTCAGCCTGGAGCTAGTCGGCCTCGTGGTCGGCCGGCCTACTGACCTGCCCTCCTCCTTTCGGGTGCCATCCCTCCTGCTGCCCCTCACTCCCTCTGCTCCAGCCATACTGGCTCCTGGCTGTCCTCACCTGAGGCCTCTGCCTGGCCGTTCCCTCGGCCTGAGTCCACCTGAGCCCAGAGCTGCTCCCGGTGCTGTCCTTGGAGCAGCAGCTTCTCTGTCACCTGGAACGGATTAGAAGTGCTAGTGCTGGGCCTCACCCCAGACCCGCGGAACCAGAAACGGGGGCGGGGCTGGAGTCTGATCCTAACAACCCTCCCGGTGAGAACTGCAGGCTGGAGGTCCCTTTGCTGATCCCCTCACGCCTGCAGCTCTCTCAGGAGTCACCTCAGTGAGGTGTAGCTGGACCTGCTTCAAACACGTCCTCCACGGGGCTGGACCCGCTCTAACTTGTACCCTCCGCCAGCAGCGGTGCCCGTGTTCATGGCACTATTTCCCTGCTCCCCGTATCTTCCTGCGTCCTCTAGTATGTAGGCAGTCCCAGGGTTTCGAACGAGATCCATTCCTAAGTCTGTCTTTAAGTCATGTTTGTAGGTAAGTCAGAACAGGTACGTACGGTTCTTATTCAGCATCAAATGTTTGTCTTAGTATACAGTATATATTTTACCTTTCTTTGCATATAAAACACTTAAGAAACACTTCCAAACCGCTCAGTGTTTTCCTGAGTGTCTCAAAGTAATGCCAGCGTTCGCTGTTATGAAGCAGTGTATGGATTTAACTCAAATTCTTAGTGTACTAGGCTTTTTAAGTCCAAGTGGTCCATAAGTCAGGTGTTCATAACCTGGGGACTGCCTGTGCTTCTGTGTACTGCTATTTACCGCTTCCCGCGCCCACACTGTTGTCTCAGCACGGTGCTTTCTGTTTACCCCTCCCCTCCCCCAGTCAGGGTGGGTTCCTTGTAGGCAGAGGTGTGTCTTGTTCCTTGTAACTCAAGCCCCTGGGAGAGCTTGGCACTTGCTAAGTAGCTGTTGAGTAAAAGGTGAGCCCTGAGCAAAGTCCTCTCACTCGGCCTTGTGCTTCCTAGCTGAGAGCTAAAGCTGTGCTCGGGCAGGACTCTGACCTCGGGCCTCAAAGGCCCGTGGCCTCTCCTGGGGCCACAGATAGTGAACCCATCCAAGGAGTAACAAGTCTGTTTGCAGCTGACCCGGCAGTGTCGCTGTGCGTTCCTGGCCACTGACTCATAGCAGAGTGGGGGAATGATTCAAGAACCAGCGTGTGTTCATAGACGCCTTGCTCTAGCTCCATTTTCCCAGAGCTCTAGTGATTGGGAAGGAAAGGTTTTACAACATTGACAACACAGCAGCTCTGGTTGCATGCCCAGATTGCATGTAGATCTCTGAAGAGAACACAGATCCATGGGCCCTCCCAGCCACAAAGCAGGCGGCCTGGTGGACGCTGATGCTGGGACACTGAGCATGGATGAGAGAGACGTGCGGGGACTGGCCACTGCGAGTATTAGTGAGGGGCAGAACGTCAGCACCCTCCCGCCCTGAACATGCCACAATTTTTGTTTGGGTTACTCAGTAAAAAACAAGCAGTGCGGGTGAATTTTATGGTATGTAAACTATACCTCAGTAGCGCTGTTAATCAGAAAACAAGAAGAAGGAATGGGGATATATTCAGGATCAGGACAGGTCCTCTCTACAATGCACAGCTCCAAAGGATGAACCGCAGGGTCTGAGGGGGACCAGGCCACGTTCGCCAAGATGCTAGGCGTTCTGATGTCTGCTCTCCTCTCCCTTCAGAGCACCGAGGACTTCATGACCATCTGCATCGAGCCCGACACGCTCAGCAAAGGAGACTTCATAACCATCGGGTGAGCGGCTGGGCCTGGCCAGGGGGCAGGGGGCCGAGTGGCTCTCAGACTTCCTGTTCCCGCACTCTGTGGGTGAAGGGCTGGTCTCCTTTGGGCACTCTGCCTTCTCCTTTCCGTGGGCCTGTGTGCATGCTGGCCCTCTCCTCCTCTGCCTTCGCCGTTTACGTTGGGGAGCTCGGGGCTCGGGTTGGGGAGCTCGGGGCCCACCCTGGGGAGCTCGGGGCTCACGTTGGGGAGTTCGGGGCCCACCCTGGGGAGCTCGGGGCCCACCGTGGGGAGCTCGGGGCTCGGGTTGGGGAGCTCGGGGCCCACCTTGGGGAGCTCGGGGTTCACGTTGGGGAGCTCGGGGCCCACCCTGGGGAGCTCGGGGCTCACCTTGCGGAGCTCGGGGAGCGACAAGCCCTGCCTGCGCGTTGGCCGCGAGGAGTTCAGTGCCCTGCGGCAGGTGTGAGAACTCAGGCTCCAGGGTCACGGGAGCGGACCGAACCTCGATCCTGCCCTCGTGGGCCTCACACGTGCACGAGCCATCGGCGCCCCCGACTCCTTTTCCCTGTCTGTAAAGCAGGGTAACAGAACCTTCTCTTCCTGGGGATAGTGCACGACGGTCTCTTCCTGTCAGCGCACTTTAGAGGGTGCCCAGGCTCTTGTCCCGGCTTCCTAGCAGAAGGCCCTCTGCAGTCCTTTCCCATTGGCCGAGCCCCCTCTGCCGAGAGCTGGATTGGTGGAGAGCGACGAAGCCCTCCTCCACTCTCAGCGCCTGAGGAGCCGCTGTCTCCATGCCAACAGGCAGCCTGCCCGCTGCGTCCTGGGCTCTGTCCCACAGCGCCCCCTGGTGCCCATGCAGGGTTGGACGTTGCTGCTGTGCAGCCGGTCTCCACGGCCACTTCCTTGTCCAAATGCCCGTGCCTGGCTCCAGAACGTCGTTGGTCAGCTTCTGGTGTTCTCTCCTTTGGCGCAGGTTCTCCTGGGGCTGAGAGCTGACCGTGCAGACTTTGGTTCACTTCCTGTGTCTGTAGTAAAGAGAAGAAGGGAAAGGCTTTTCCCTTCTTCTGCTATGGAGTGTCCAGAAACCCCAACCTGTCTTCATGAGGGACTGGTCAGTGGGGCCAGCCATATACAGATGTCTTCTGCAGACAGACAGAAGAACTGACGATGCTGCTTAAGCTGGGTGAAGGCATTAGGGTCTGTGTTACTGTTACCTCCATCAGCATCATCAGCATCAGCTACATTGTTTCATTTTGGTCCCTACAGGAAGTAAAATCAACTAATGGCCATTATTTCTAGATAGTTGAATAGGACATTGTGAAATTGTTTTAGAAGACTCTGCTGAAAATGTCATGTACCAAAGAATTACTGTTGTAAATTAATGATAATAGACTGGTTTGGTTGGATTAGCTTTTACTCTTTTTCCACTCAGCATAACTAGCTATAAGGAGTATGTATGCATACGATGGGAGTATATATGTTGTGTGTGTGTGTGTGTGTGTGTGTGTGTGTGTGTGTGTGTGTGTGGAGTCTGATAGTTCTACTTTGAAGCCATGTAGTCAGGCTAAAGTTATAGTATGCTACCCATAAACTCGACCCTTTGCTGTTGAGTCAGTTCTGGCTGATAGTGACCCTATAGGACAAAGTAGAACTGATCTGTAAGGTTTCCAAGCCTGTAAATCTTTACAGAAGCAGACCACCGCATCTTTTTCCCGATAGTATGCTAAGTAGACTGTTAATATGAGTATAGGCAATCATCTGAACTAAGGCTAGTTTTTCATATATGTAAAGGAAGTTCACGTGAAATCAGAATAAAAATATTTCTCCTTCAAGTAATAAACAATCACAAACCAAAAGTACCAAATAACAAAAGTTTAGTACTTGCCCTAAGGAATTTAATTCTACTTTTTAAATTTGAGGTTTTTAATAGCCCCAGAATTAGGTCCACGTGGAACAATTGAAATATAAAGAACAAGGCAGAGGGAGTCACCCAGTCTTGCCTTCACACACATTTACCTGCAGCAAGTACAGCTTCTCTTCTAAAATACCTCTCAGTGCTAAGCAAGAATCACTGAGGGAAAAATTACTCACAGCGTAATAGAAAACCTGTCCAACTTTTTAACTTCACGAATAGAGGAAGAACGCGCTGCGTTTTGCGATGTAAACGCTGTTGCTGTCACTGGTTTTTAAGCTTGCTGTCTTCTTTGCCAACAGGAGCAAGAGGATGCGCGACCCCACCCTGTGTCCCGCCGGCACTGAGCGTCTGCAGGCCAGCAAGTGCACGCTGCGGCTGCCCCAGGTGAGCGGGCGGAGGGGGGGCCCAGGCGCGGGGCTC